TGATTCCATTGGTCTGTATGTCAGTTTTTATACCAGTACCAAGCTGTTTTTTTTATTACTATAGCTCTATAGTAGAGCTTGATGTCAGGGATGGTAATACTTCCAGAGGTGGCTTTATTATACAGGATTCTTTTAGCTTTCCTGGGTCTTTTGTTTTTTCCATATGAAGTTGAGTATTTTTCTTTCCAAGTCTGTGAAGAATTGTGTTGGGATTTTGATGGGGATTGCATTGAATCTGTAGATTGCTTTTGGTAAGATTGCCATTTTTACTATGTTAATCCTACCTATCCATGAGCATGGGAGATCCTTTCATTTTCTGTAGTTTTTGTAGGGCAAAAGACATGGTCAATAAAACAAAAAGACAACCTACAGAATGGGAAAAGACCTTCGCCAACCCCATATCTGACAGAGGACTGATCTCCAAAAAATATAAAGAACTCAAGAAACTAGGCATCAAAATACTGAACAATCCAATTAAAAAATGGGCTGAAGAGCTAAACAGAGAATTCTCAAAAGAAGAATCACAAATGGCTGAAAGACATTTAAAGAAATGCTCATCATCCTTAATCATCAAAGAAATGCAAATCAAAAAGACTCTGAGATACCACCTTACACCTGTCAGAATGGCTACGATAAAAACACCAATGACAACCAATGTTGGAGAGAGTGTGGAGCAAAGGGAACACTCCTCCACTGTTGGGGGGAATGCAAACTTGTACAACCACTGTGGAAATCAGTGTGGCGGTTTCTCAGAAAATTGGGAATGATCTACCTCAAGACGCAGCCATACCACTCTTGGGCATATACTCAAGGAATACTCAATTATACCACAAAGATACATGCTCAACTATGTTCATAGCAGCACTATTTGTAATAACCAGAACCTGGAAACAACCTAGATGTCCATCAACGGAAGAATGGATGAAAAAAATGTGGTACATATACACAATGGAGTACTACTCAGCAGAGAAAAACAATGACAGCATGAAATTTGCAGGCAAATGGATTGGAACTAGAAAAAATCATCCTGAGTGAGGTAACCCAAACCCAGGACAAATCACTCATAAGTGGATTCTAGATATAAAGCAAAGAACAATCAGACTGCAACCCACAGAACCAGGGAGGCTATATAGCAGGAGGGACCCTAGGATGACTGTGGCTTATAATAAGTTTTGGTTTTACTCAATTACTGGGCAAGTCTCAATGAAACATTTCACAATTAGGATAAGAATTTATACTGTATCAAGCTGATAATAGAAAAATAAATTTTTGCCGGGCGGTGGTGGCGCACGCCTTTAATCCCAGCACTCGGGAGGCAAAGCCAGGCGGATCTCTGTGAGTTCGAGGCCAGCCTAGACTACCAAGTGAGTCCCAGGAAAGGCGCAAAGCTACACAGAGAAACCCTGTCTCGAAAAACGGAAAAAAAAAAAAAGAAAAAGAAAAATAAATTTTAAAAAGTGAAAAAAAAAATGGTTCTATGGGTACCAGTGGCAGATGCTTGAAAAGACTTTCATAGATATTGTATTGTTACAATTTTCAATGTTCCTATACTTTTATTTTATTAAGTTTTGTTCTTTTACTCTCTCTCTCTCTCTCTCTCTCTCTCTCTCTCTCTCTGTCTGTGTGTGTGTGTGTGTGTGTGTGTAGACTATGTAGCGCAGGCTGTGAAACTCACAACAATCTTCCTTTCTCTGTGTCCTGATTGCTAGTACTAAAAGAATGCACTACCACAGGAAAAAAGTCTGCTCTAGAAGGAAACAGGAAGGAATATTGTCTCCATGACTGAGGCATCCAACAGCCCTCTGGATTATGACTCCAAATCTACAATCCAGGAGAGAAGAACACAAGATGCTTAACTTCATTAAGAACCAAACAAACACCAATTGTGCCTGATGAGAAACATCATGTCTTTGCCACACCAGACTGGGCAAAGCGTAATGGGCAGAAAGATAACGGTGGACAGTTCTTGGAGATGCGAAGTCATATGTCATGGTGTCGGCATCTAATGAGGGACATCTTACTGCATTCTAACTCACATGGTGGAAGGGTGAGGAAAAGACAGAAGGGGACAGAAAGAAGCCAACCTCCCCCTTCAGTAGGAAGCCATTCGAGCAGTAATGATATCGAATCATTCATTCCACCCTCATGGCCTGACCACCTCTCACTGGGTCCTATCTCCTAGCCACACCACATCACAATCAAGTCACAAGTCAAAGGATAAAATGAGAAAAACAATTCAGCTCATAACATGAAGAAAAGGTTTTCCTTCAGTTTCTAAGAAAAACTTGTACAGCGTGACAATATCTCAAAAGAAAGGAGACAAAAGTGTCACAAATACAAAAAGATACTTGATTTTATTCATAAACAAACAAATATACAAATTGAAACTGTCCTGATTTCAGCCTTTTGGTTATCAGACTTGTAAACCCTACAGTTTAATAAGCATAGTTTGATAAGATTTGGGTTTTCCGAGACACCCTTGTGTTGGTGTTGTACCTTGTTGGTACAAGAATTGTCCTAATTCCTAAGAAGGCAACTTGATAATCCCCAGCAGAACTGGAAAATCTTACACTCGACCTAGCCATTTCCACTTCAAATGCATCATGTTTTCATGTACAGGAAATATTGTCTACAAGAATAACTTCCCTATTTGATCAAAAAGGCTGGGATAGGATCAGCAAACCATTTCTAATAGCAAAAAAAAAAATGACAAAGAAAATATAAATTAATAGAAGACTGATGAAGTAATGTAAGATGTGTGGAGACAGCCAAATGTTTAATCTCTGGGATAAATAGACTAAGAAACTTTATGTGAGATATGTGTATGAGTTATATGTGCACTACATATGTGTGCCTGTGTGCCAGAGACAGATGTTGAGTGTCCTGTTCTTGTCACTCTCCATTTTATTCCTTTCAGACAATGTCTACTTGACCCTGGACCTAGGCTGGCAGCCAGCATGCCCCAGAGCTCTTCCTGCATCCACCCTCTACTGTATCTTCATGTGCACTCTGGGATTTGGATACGAGTTCTTATGTTTGTGCGGCCAATACTGTTACCCATTGGGCCATCTCCCCAGTCCCTTTCTTCACTTGTATAGAGATATGTGTTCACGTACAAAAGGATTCATGTCAGGGCTGTATGTAGCCATACTGCTTATAAGGTGACCATCGGGAGGCTACATGTTCTTAGCCCTCAGCCGAAGGACAGAGCTCAAATGGTAGGATACTGTAATTCAGATCAAAAGAGGGAACCAGGTAGTTGTTGACTGGCCATATATTACTGAAGGAAAAAAAGTGAGTTGCAGTATGGTCATTTATCTGAAGAATAGTTCACTAGATATTGATGTACAAAGACACATCAAAAGGTCTAGAAGAAAATACTCCAAGTTCTCATCTGGAGGAAGGGGCAAGAAGCAAGTCTGTAGATGATGCTTGGTTATGGCACTTCAAACTGATTTGCAATGTCCTGAAGTTTTTAAGCCTTTGGATAAACACACAAATTCTATTATTTCAGTGCTATGATAATTTAAGTTTTGAAAACTCCATTGAAAACAGCATTAATTCCTAAAATGTGCATACGCTAGGATTTCTGGCTGTGTGAGATACCAAAATGGTGATGTCTATGGTCTACCCTCCTTCCTGGATTAGTTCAGAATTCTCACTAACCACATGAAGTATCTTTCCCAGTCTATTTTCTCAGCCAAGAAAAGGTCAGAAGCTGAATGAATGAATAAATGAATGAATGGATGGATGGATGGATGGATGGATGGATGGATGGATGGATGAATGGATGGATGATACACCTTGCTCGGCCATTACTTTTCTGCAAAGTTTGTTTAAAGCAGCATTCATGGATATGACTGCCTCCTCTTAGGGCCTGACCTGGTAGAGCTATTCAGTGTTAAGATGAATGCAACTCTAAAATGTGGCCAAGACTTTAATTCTGCAGATTTGTGGTCTTATACAGTAGGTAATGATTCTGGGAGAGTCTGAAGGTTCAAATGTAAGGAATCACTGAAGCCCACTCTAGCCCAACAATACCCTTGATCTTGTAAACAAACAGACTCCCTGCAGTGGCCTGTGCTGACAAACCTCCTTAGACTCCCTGGAAAGCAATGACTTTTAAATGCTCAGATGTTCCTTTTCAGAATTGGAAGACAATGTTTCTACGTGTGTGTTCTAGAAGGGCAGGGGCCTTATCAGGATGGTTGCCATTGTGTTCCAGTCCTCACATCGTGCCTAGCATAGAGTAACCGTAAATATTTGTGGAATGAGTGAAGCCACACAAAAGGAAGATAAAAGTAAAATCACAGATAAATGCTACATCGTCTTGAGAAACAGCAGAGAAAAGGACACCATGCACTTCCATTTACGCAATGTTGCAGGACAGCGGGAACTGATAGAGATAGGGGGACATTTAGAGTTCGTGTGTGGAGGGATTTGCCTGAGTTCTGGGCTTCTGGTCACATTCCATTGCTTGATCTGCATGGAAGTTTCCTACATGCACCTACTTTGTGAAAAAAAAAAATTCATTAACTTATACCACTGTGGTCAATGTCCCTGCCATCTTAAAGGGTCTTCACAAGCATCCTTTTAAGTAAATGAAATCAATTTCTTCCATAAAAATAAGAAGTCACAGTTAAGTAAATGCGTATCACTGAGATTTTGAAATTTCCAACTGTCAAGATGTGCATGCCATCTTTGGAAAATCTCCTTCTATCTCAAATGAATTTTCATTCTGAATCTGTGAGCAGGAAGTGCTAAGTATCCCTCCAGGGCTTCAACCTGGACCCTTCCTGTATCCAGATACTGCTCTGGCTGGCGTAACGTGATTTGGCTCTTGGTAAGACAGTAGCTGTGGGGTGGAAGTGACTCTGCCTTTGGGATTTCCGCCCTTAATCTTCTAAAAATTTCTGACCCTTGGATGAGGGAAGCTTGGAAGAAGGAGGAAACCAGGAACTCCCAAGTGCACAGCCTGGGGAACTTGAGGCATTTCTTACCTTCTCACAACCTCTAGACTTTTCAGCTCTGCATCCTCCTTTAGTGCCTCCATTTGAAATAGTGTTCAAATCCTGAAAAACAGTAAGCCAGTTGTGAGTTAGACACACATAGTAGTTCTTGAACTAACTGCTCTGTTTACAGGATGGTTCTTGGCCATAGATTAAAGGTGACTTGAACATTCATCCAAAATGGATTGGTTTAGTGTATTGACATCCCACAATGTAGAATAAGTGTTTGTAAAGAAAGAGTAATGTATGTTCAAAGTACACAAGTACGTAGAAAACACAAGATACAGAATATGTGTTTGGATTACTAGTATTTATGAATGTGTCATTTTTTTTCTAGAAGGAAATGCAAAAGTCTGTGGGTATTGGTTGCTCCCAGAGTAGCATGCCATATGTGAATAGAACAGTAATGTTTCTCTGTGTGCTCTATAATTCTTTGGATATTTAAACCATAATGTATATTGTCTAATTAAAAAGAAGTTTAAAAAGGCAAAGTAATCCTCTGGTTATGGACCGCCATTCTGCCAAGAATGTGTGTAGGACAATGGCCCCTGGACGGCCAAAGAGGTGTAAACCTAAGAAGAAGGAAGTTTGTCTGACTGTCAGAAACTTCTAGTTTACTTAGTCCACAGATAAGCATGTGTTTCTAAGTCAAATTACTGGATTCCTATTTTTAAGGACTTAAACACTATTTTTATTAATGTTATATTACCATAAAGAAAAAGAGATGTGAAAGAGAAGACAGAGAAAGAATAGTTTGAAAATGTAATGTCAGAGTGAAGGAAGTATCACAAGTCCCCAGGGTTTGTCCAAGCATGCTCCTTTAGTGAAGAAACAGCAATACAAGGAATACTGCGGACATCAGGAGGAAACAGTATAAGGAACCGAGGCCCCGAGTCACAGAGCATTGCACATGCTTTGCCTGTACAGCACAATACTATTTGATGCAAATGTTGGACACATGTCATCACACCTGTGTGCATGCATAGATCCAAAATTTAACAAGTTTATTCAAAGTGATCCAATGCTATTTTAAACTTTCCATTTTCATGTCAATTTTCCTAAGAAGTTGAATCAAACTTATGTCAGACATTGGAAAAATTTTAAGAAAATAGTTAATGAGAAAAATTTTAAATGTGCCACAAGTAAACCTTCTTAACAGTATGTAAATGGAGTCCAGGAAACTCAAATATACACAACACATTGCTGCGTTGTGCTCAGCTTGAGGATGTGACAGATCTGAGATTGCTGAGCAGGGCAGTGGCCAGCTGCAGGATGCTTCAGACCCAAGGTGATCCTGCTTTTTATGTATTTCCATGGTATCGTCTCCCTGTTTATCAGTCACTTCATACATCATGCATTTCTCTCAAATGGACTTTCTAACTTTGAAAAGAAAAATAAGTAAATCTTTACCCAATCAAAAAAGGACACACACATTTAATACATCACTTTAAAATTACATCTGGAATGAGGCATGGTGGGCAGTCCCAGCCATTTGGAGGGCTGAAGCCGGGGAGTCATTTGAGCTCAGGAGTTTGCAGCTAACCTGGGCAACATAGTAAGATTTGTCTTGTAAGCAAACATTTTAAAATACATTTAGAATAAAATTTTCCCAATGGTATTTGTATTTCCATCTTTATTTAGCTGTTGTTGAGATGAAAATCACATACCATACTAACCATTTAAAAGTGAATATTTCAGTTATCTTTAATACGTTCACTTTGTACAATTATCACATCTAGTTCCAAAATATTTTCATCACCCCAGAAATGACCTTGTGCCCATTAAGCAATTGCTTCCTCCCATCCCCCTCCTTCCTCAGGTCCTGGTAACTACCAGTCTTTATTCTGTCTCTACAGCACTTACTCTAGACATTTTAGCAGAAATGGGCTCTTATGTGACCATTTGTGTCCAGCTCCTTTGATTCATCCTATTTTCAAGGTTCATCTAAATTGTAGCGTGTATCAATATAATTCTTATAATCAAGTAATGTCCTGTTGTTTGAATATTACACTATTTAGTCTTTTATCTGAGAAAAGCACACAAGTTTATTTCCACATTTTGGGTGTTACTGTGAAGGGTCACATGTATATATCTTTTGAGTCCATGACTTAGTGTGTGGGTACAAGCGCACACGTGTGTGGAGGTGTGTGTGGCTGTGGATGCTCCAAGCTAACCTCGGTGTTGTCTTCAGGCTCTGACCACCATAGTTTTCAAGACAGTCTTTTGCTGGGGCTTGAGGCTTAGCAGTTCTGCGAGGCTGACTGGCCATGAACGCCAAGGACCCTTCACCTCTTGGTGGTTCTGGGTTACAAGTTCATGCTACCACACCCTGCTTTATGACACTTTACTGACTGAACCTGGTTTCAGTTTTTTTGATCCATGTCTAAGAATTGAATTTCTGGATAATATGGTAATTCTGCATTTAAGTTTTGATGAATTACCAATGTATTAAACATTTTTCATTCCAATGAGAAATATACCAAAGTGTCAGTTCCTCTACATCCCCTCCAACACTTGCTATTGTCTATTTTAATCAGTGTGTATGTGTATGGGTGGGTGTGTATGTGTGTGTATGTTAATGTGTATGAGTGTATATTGTATGAGTGTGTGTGTTATTGTGTGTATGAGTATATATGTATGAATATGTATGTGAATGTGAGTGTGTGTATAAGTGCATATGTGAGTGTATGTGGTGTGTGTGTGTATGTGTGTGTATGAGAGAGAGAGAGAGAGAGAGAGAGAGAGAGAGAGAGAGAGAGAGAGAAATGAGAGAGTTGTGACTTTGGTAAGCATTTTCCAACTAACCAGTAATGCCAAGAGTGTCTTCTTGTGCTTGCTGGCCTTTGTACACTTTGGGGGAAATATCTGTTCAAGTTCCTATTTTATAACACAATTGTCTTTTGTTGTTGAGTTGTAGAAACTCTTTACATAGTCTGCATACTAGACCTTTATCAGACTGATTTGTAAATATTTCCTTTATGTCTTTTATGTTTTCTTTGGATTTTATTGACAATAGTCTTTGATAGGCTTGTCATTTTGCTTACCAATATTATATAGAAAACTGTTATTGTATGTTCTGTTTTATCTACTTGTATATTGTCCTTATTTTGTGTTCATTCACATTGCTGTCACACCGTTCAGTCACTTTAATAATAATTCACCATCTATGGCAGGTTACTTGAGGCTATTTTGATTAGTTAAGGCAGTTCAATCCAATTCACCACTCAGACGTTAAGAGCAGAAACAAGGGACCCCACAGGGGCTCTCCTAGGTTGCTGGATATGGTTCACCCCATCACTCAGGAAATTTCCAAGGGTTCAGGTGCTGCGTGCCAAGACCTGGTGACAACACCCAAATATACTTCTTCTTTCACCAAACCTAGGTGAGCATCTCATTTTCAAACCTCCACCTTGCCAAATCCACGGTAAGGCTTTACACATGATACAAACCAACCGCAGCACTCATGTTATTGAAGATGGAGACACCAGCTGGGCTTGCCTTCCTTCTCCACAGTTCTGTCTTTCCTTCCATTCCTGACTCAATGTTTTCTGACCTCTAAACAAAGTAGCTCTACGGTGATCCTCTGGTTTTCTTTTTATTGCTTAAATACAAAGTAGATTTGCTCTCATTAAATCCACAGGTAGATATGGCTAGACCCTGTCCTAGGGTGCTGACAGTCTTATGATACTGATTAATGGTTTAACCCTAGGAAAATGATGAGATAATGATAATTGTGGATAATAAAATTCTACACGGGGATTCATTGCCATCATCCCAGTTACTAGGAGAACTCCTTCATGTTGTTCCCATTTTACTTGTGTGTGACCAATCTTCAGGCTCTGGAGAAGATAGTTCCGAGATTTTGTCACTTTAACATACATCAATCTTGCTGATAGACGAGATAATAAACATGTTAGTTTAAGCCGGGCAGCGGTGGCGCACGCCTTTAATCCCAACACTGGGGAGGCAGAGCCAGGCGGATCTCTGTGAGTTCAAGGCCAGCCTGGTCTACAGAGCAGGAGGGGGGCGATGGGAAAGTGTCTGTTTATCTGAGTAGGGCTCTGCCGAGGACTGGATGGAATGAAAAACCAATGTGAGATAGTTAGGTCAGGGTCGAAGTGTGCACAAGCCAATCTAGTTTCCCTAGAGCTTTCCAAGGTTAATCCCCTCCCCCAAACCTCTACCCCAGCAACCTTGTCAATTCCAAGTAAACCAGGTGTCTGGTTACCCAAGAGTCAGGAAGTTACAACGGTCTCAGAAAATAGTTATTTTTCTTTCAGAGATGAAAAATGAAGAATAAAATACCTGACATGATGCAAGGAACGCAGGCATCGTTCAGAAAAACCCTTCATGGTTGCAGAACTAAAGCATTTAACTCATCTTCAAGGCCTCGGCAGCCACATGCTGTACTTGGGTGTTGTTTTTCAGCCTGTCCTTCAATTCTTTATTCATTCAACCCAACCTCATAGAATCCCGGTTTAGAGGAGAGCACAAGCAATTCGTACATTTCAAATAGTGAAAGTTGATCTTAGTGACTTACACTGTCAGGTTGGTGAGTTGATTTTCTAGAGATTTCCCTGAATTCGTCCACTCTAACAGGACAGTGATGTTCTCTTGCACGGTGGACACTATGGGGTTTTGGTATAGCCTCTGCCCATAGAGGAGGGGATGGCCGAAATAACCAAGTCTGCTCGGATCACAGGGCTTTTCTGCCCTAACGTTAATGAACTGCTCTTAAGAAGATGAAAGTAATAAAGCATTTGTCCTTCGCTCTGTCCTAAGAAATGGTCCACGACAGGCAGGCTCCTGACTGAGCAGGTGGCCTGCCCCCAGGAACAACACATAAAAAGACACAAGAGTCGTCTATTTTAAGTCACTCTATCACCAGCCAAAAGAAAGGTAAAAAACCATCTATGTTCCCATTAGGATTTGGAGTAATCTTTTATTTTCATTTCAGCAGAGAGAGGAAATTCAGAATCAGTCACTTCATCTCAAATACAATAATCTTCTGGTATTGTATTTACCATAACATGTCATAGAGAAAGCGGATATTTCGCCTGGGAGTCGGGGCCCTTGCAGGGAGGCTGACTTTCTTCAGCAGCCCCGTGTAATAAGCTCAAGAGAGCTCCACGCTGGGTTAAACAGCAGCTTGCCACCCCCACCTGCGCAGCAAACTGAACAGGAGGCAACCTTTAGGAAAACAGGATTAGATTTCACAAGAAGATATGGGAAGGGATACAAAACCTCTCCCCCTGTCTCCTGCAAAAACCACAGAACAAAGGAGCTAGTGGCCATGTCTTCAAAGAAGAGCCTTCCCAGAGGAGTCTGCCTGGGCCTCGACTTCTTTCTGATGTGGAAGTTCGGGTGGTTCATTTTAAACAAAATTGCTTTAGTTATGTTTTTTTTTTCCTTCTTGAAAATACCTTGAGTTGTTTTAGTAGGAAACACTACAGTCAGGGACAAAGAAGAAAGGAGGGTTTATTTTTGGACTGGGGGCCCAAGTGGGACAGACCTGTGGCCATCCCTGGACAGTGTTCCCAAGGCTCAGGTGTCAGGAGGCTGGTTGACAAGAATGGCCTCAAGGGTATGTTGGAGCTAGTTCCCAGGAGCTCGGTCTTTTCGTCCCTCCCTCCCCCTTCCTTCTTTCTTGACACTGAAGTTTAAGCTAAGGCTATTTCTTTTCTTTCTTTTTCTTTTTCTTTTTTCTTTTTCTTTTTCTTTTCTTTCTTTCTTTTTTTTTTTTTTTTTTTTTTGAGGCAGGGCTTCTCTAACTAGGGCTATTTCTTAAAGGAATGTAGTACAAAAGTTGTGGGTCTTGCTCTTCTGAAATGTTGCCCAAGAATTGAAAACCTGCCCAAAGCAGTAGTGATCTGATACTCCAAATGGGGAAAATAACTTCAACTGTTTTTCCCTTGGTGGTGTAGACTGGAGAGTGTTAGAGAGATGCCACATCTGTTTTCCTTTTCTTCCTTTTTCTTCTAAAAGGGAAACCGTCTGCTAATCATCCCCTCAAGAGAGGAAAGGTAGAAGGGTCTCCCCATCCAGAACCATGCCTACCAGTGAAGGGCTCATTACATCCACTCCACATTCTTATGTTGAATTAGGACCCCTGGGATCTCGGAGTGTGACAGTACTTGGAGACACAGCCTTCTAGAAAGTGATTAAGGTAAAATGAGGACATGCTAGTAGGCCTTCCTCCATGATCGAAAAGGCTCATGGGAATAAACATGTGCATGGTGAGGACAGACCATATGAGTCACGAGGGAGCCACCTACCAGCACAAGAGAATAAGCCCAGGAGAAACCAAACCTATGGACACCTTGATCTAGACTTCCAGCCTCCAGTCCTGGGAGGAAAAAAAAAACTATGTCCTCCCTTTGCTTATTTAATTATCATTTGCTCTTCCCAATCTCTTCCATATCCCCTTTCACTCTTTTTAAAATTCTTGTGCGTTTATTCATATATAAGTATATATGTAAATATATATAAGTATATATGTAAATACACATGCATATATATGCATACATAAAATACAACATGCTGAGTTCATTTAGTGTTGCATATATGTATTTTTTATGGGACTGACCATTTGGGAGTAGATAATCATTTAGAGTGCTCCTCTCTAGAAAAGACTAATTCTTCCTCTCAGTAACTTTTAATTGCCTGTAGCTTTTCATCTAGGAGTGAGATCCCATGCGATTTCCCCATCCACGTTGGCATGTCAAGTCTCTGGTGCTGTCATTGTTCTGGTCTTGTTTAAGCAGCCATATTGTTGAGATTTCATGGGCATAGTTCCCCTGTCATATCTAAAAGAGTCAGTCTTGCAACAGACTTCCTGGTCCTCTGGCTCTTACAGTCTTTCAGTCCTCCTTCCACTACATTTCCTGAGCCTTGGGTGTAAGAGCTGTCGTACAGCTAGGCATGGTGGTGCCCACCTTTAATCCCAGTTCTCTGGAGGCAGAGGCTAATGGATACCTGAGCTCCTGGCTAGCTTGGGCTACAGAGCAAGTTACATTACAGCCAGCGTTACAAAGAGAAACCCTGTCTTGAGAACTAAAAAATAAACAAACAAAAAAAGTTGTTAAGATGTACCAGTTGGGGCTGGGTACCCCAAATCAGTTGCTCTCTGCACTTGTAGTTTTCTGCAGTGGTTTCTGTCTGCACTGGAAAGAAGTTTCTTCAATGAGGGGTGAGAGCTATATTTATCTGTGGGAATAAAGACAAGTATTTAGAATGCCAATAGGAAGTAGACTGATGTAGCAAAGTGGTGGTAGTAGGTTTTCCTCTGA